TTGCTTTGATAGCGTGCAAATATTTGCCCTAAAATTATAAGTTCACGTTGCAAAGCCCACTTAGCATCTGTCAGTTAGGCAGGAGACGCAACAGTAATGAGAGTTCATTTGTGAGGGTTTTTGGGAATTTTTGTACATAAAACTAAAGTCAAGTGAAGACTGAAGTTTGTTAACTGATATTGGTTCTAGCAAAGTTGTTTATTGTTTTAGCACTGCAGTAATGGTAAGGCATGCATACTTCCACTACCAGTTACGTTGGGAAGCTTTTTAATTTCAGGTGCAATAGTCCGTTGACTCTTGAGTCATAAGTGGTGGTTATAGTCTAGTGTATAAAACTGTTCAAAAGCGCAGACCCAACATAAAAATACTGAAGATGAAAAAGTTCAAAAATTAGACGGCAATAAAGTGGTTCATAAATGTTATTAGCTTTTATTTTGCACTTGATAGTTTTTCGTACAGGCTGTCATTTAATGACAATCTGAGACAACCTTATCTGCCGCAGTCTTTGGGTTGCGGTAATCATTCTGAGAGAAAAATTTGTTTACCAAGTTTCAATTACTCTTTATTTTCCAGAAAAATTTTTTGAAACCTATGACCACAGCTGTTGGACTGATAAATAACATATTAACACTACAAGCTTAACTGCAATTAAACTTTCGTTTGCTGATTGTTTATGTGAGAAAAATGTGAAAATATACATATATACGTTCCAAGCGTTATTAATGTGTATTTGATTGTCAGGAAAGTGTTTTTGATCATTTGATAAGCTATTTAAGGCTGACCTTATATTTGTGTACAACAATATTTTATGTAAGCAAATTTACTTGACATCAAAAATGGTAGAGCATTTCTTTATCGGTCATTGGTCTAATGATGTGCCGCATCAGCTATGTTGTCTTGTTTCATTTGCTTCTGAATGCCTGTTTTGCTTGTCTTTTATGTCCACTGCACTTGCCTCCAAGACCACGTCCAATCGATCATTTTTTATTGCCGTCCGTTGAAAATCTTGAGCTACCAGAATCTGTTGCTGTACTTTGTAACAACACAAAAAATTTACCACTTACCAATGTTTGCGGTCAACAAGTCTCTGAAATTGTTTGTTCAATTTCTGAATTTATTTTTTCTCAAACCACAACCTGTAATACAAGTGATTCGCAGGAGCGATGCGTTGAATGTTTGCAACGGAAATCCGTAATGACAGAAAAAAATTTTTGGGCTATTTCTTGTAAGTACTTTATTGTGACTGCTAGTCATCTAATTTTAACCAAAAATAAGATTGTCAAATGGTCTTAAGGTGCAGCTTATTTGAAATGGTACATTATTTTTAAACTGATAGTAATTTAGGTGGTTATCTACTTGGATATTTAGTTCATTTAGCTTATTACAGGGATTCTTCACTAGAGTAATATCTGTAGATTTCTTTGGAGCTTCTAATTTAAAATTAGACCTGTAATATGATGTTCAGGGATGACACCTCTAAAGTGCTACTTTTGAAAACCTTGAAAAAAAAAACAGTTAGAATTTTGTGGTTATGAGTTTGCTACTGATGAATAAAATTTGCTGACATATCTTAATAATTTTAGGGTTAGATTCTCTTGGGAAAATGCCACCAGCAGTTAGCGAAGGGAACTACTACTGGTTTGGAGACTACGAACAATGCGTTAAACTGAAAATGTAACTTCTCATTTCTCAATTGTTCTTTTCTATTCGGCTGATTTCAAAAGAAAAAAATGAAGCAAATCGCTTCTAATTGCTAAGTTAAATATTGGTCATCAACGCAGGATATAAATCAGTGTTTCTCAAACTTTTATACCAGTTCTCCTTTTTTGGAAAAAAATTTTATCATCAATTACCAAATCATTTTTTCCTCTTTCTTTTCCCCTGGTCAGTTGTGTTTACTTTTATGATTACTTTTAAATTCTTTGAGTTAAGTATGGATGAAGAGCATTTATTTTAAACTTTGTTATTAATAAACTTACCGAAAAACATAGAATAGTTTTAGCAGTATTATTAATTCTCAAAGCATTTCTGTAGTTTACTACAATTTTCTAGATTTATCTTAAATTTCAGAATATTGACATTATTTTAAGCTTCTACTGCCGTTTAGTACTTCCCATCATCTTTAGGAAGCAATATTTTTTGCTTGGAGAATTACCACTGTATACTATAAATACGTAAAAACAGTTTTGTCGTAATAGAGTTTGTTCAGGTCTGGTGCATTTGATGGTCGGTACTGTCAAGTACTGTTGGAGATACCGGACGCAACAATTTTTCCAAACTGCCTTCAAGAAGATCCATTGGAAATTCATCTTGGATTCTGTGGACCGACGGCTTGTTCAGTTAAAGAACTAGGCTCATTTTTACAGTGTATGATTGTGTTACAATCAACTAGTTTGCCAATTTTTTTTATTTTGACATAAAACGAGCAGGTCTGAGGTGCTAAAAGTAATAGTTATTTGGTAGCGCATAAATATACACATATCTTTATTTTTGTACTTTCCTTAAAAGTAAGTTGCGGTTTTTATAGCTTATTCCCAGTACAAGTTGAAAGTACAGTGCGAGTCTTCTTCAGAGTGGCCTTTCCCAGCACAACTCTTTATGTAAGTCCATTTAACAGTGTAAGAAGAGTACAATTTTCTGGGCTTAATTGACTGCTGCAGTTCAAACTGTTTTGGCAGTTTCAGTCAGGCTTTTAGGATTAAAATTTTTATCTCAACAGGTATAATTATTAGCTAGGTTTTTTAGAAGTCTAGTAACAATTTGGATAACTTTAGTCATCGCCGGAACGGTGCTGGACAGTAATGACAAAGAGCAGTTGGATAACGGGCATGTGATGGTAGGCGTTTGCGGGGAAAAATTATAATTAATTTCGAGTTATTGGAAAGAAACTTCAAGTTTTTTCCTTACTGATGCTTACTTTATATGTAGAACTTCATTTAGGAACTTGCACGCTGTGTATCATTGCGGTCAAATGGTCAGAAGTCACTGACTACGAAGAGAGAACACGGATATCATTCGATTCAGGGAATCCAAGTATTGAGTACTGTAGTGATCGTCACTGCAAACTGTTATCTAATTATGATGCCCTATATAGGTGCATTATTTTTTAATTAAGTAGTAAGTTGACTATTCTAAATCTATTTTTCATAGTTCGGAACGAATTTGAAGAGGTTTTTCAGAAAATGTTGTCTTCTCTTATGAAAACGTTAAGCTTTTCTATATGCATCTGCTCAACAACTTTACGTATCACATAGATGGCCTTATCGCTGTTCATAGTCTCTTCTTTGCTTTGGTTTTACGGGATGTTTTACCTGATGCGGTGGAAATCAAAAAGCAGTATGTCTGGCGGCTATTACAGTAAGTTTGTTGTGGGTTTTAAGTGTTACATTAGCAAACCGTAATATTAACTGACCATGAGAGGACCACTAAATTCTTTTCAAGCTCATCTACATTTTTAAAAAACATTTACAGTATACTGCCAAGTTACGCTTTTTTGATATTGTTCATGACGCTGATTTTTGACCATCTCTCTTCTGGTCCAATGTGGAATCACGGCGAAATGGTGGCTCGTTGTTCAAGCCACTGGTGGAAAAATCTACTTTTTATTGATAACTTTTTTGGTGCTGAAGAAACGGTTTGTTCACGCCACTTCGTGTTTATTTCGAATTGTTGGTGATTTGCAGTGTCAAAATACTCACACCACGCATTTAAAATTTTGGGACTAGAGCAATTTTGTCGCAGGAATTTTTTAACTTTGACTTGAACGACATGCTGTTTAGTGCTTGGATAGCGGCTACTTAATATCACTGGAAGTTCAGTTTTTCTTCTTCCTGGCTATTATGGTGTATTTATCTCTGCAACATCGTAATGTCATAATCACAGCTGCCTGTTCCGGTTTAATATGTTCAATTATATACACATTTCTTATCGTTAATACTAGATCTTTACCTCCCTCAATTATGCTTACAGTTGACCCATTACCGTAAGCTTTTTTGAACAGTTTTCTGTTATTCTGGCGGGTATTAGTGGTAGGGAATGACAAGTCATTAGTATCAGATATGCAGCTTTTTTTTTCAGTCAACATAGTGTATCTACATTTCTGGACATGATTTATACGAAACCATGGACGCGATGCTCACCGTTTTTGATCGGATTTGTATTTTCTTTCCTTTTCACTAAAAAATCTCGGATCAGCAAGGTTTATGAGTTGCATAAAGTATCAAAATGAAGTTTTTTGTCAAACCAAATTCAATTAGTCTTTCTGTTCAAAATTTTTTTAAAGCTATTTTTCTATCTACTTCATTGCAGTTTTTAAAAGTAAAATAAAACTTTTAAAAAAAGTGCATTTTATTAATATGAAGTAGTTTTAGATCACGGCTACTGTGATACACATAATTCTTATCGGTGTTGCTTTCTGTGTAGCATTCTTCTTGTATCCTTATGCTACTGAAGCTCCTGCTGAAGGTGTACTTTTATCTCTGTATGCAGCACTTCATCGGCCTATCTGGTCGGTAATCGTTTGCATGACTATTTACCTATGCTATCGACGTTCTGCAGGTTTACAACTTTTACTGGAATAAAATCAGTGACGTTAAGAAGTTATTTTTGACATCTGAGTACTTATTACATAAAACTTTTAATGGAACTTACAGGAGAATTTGGCACTTTTCTCGAATGGCGGCTATTTACCCCATTAGCTAAACAATCTTATGTCGTTCTACTCATATCTGAACCAGTATTTAAATATCTGTTTTCATCGTTACACAGACCGTTTCATGCTACTCAGTGGTCGTCGGTAAGGCTATTTCAACCGTAATAATGTCAAATAAAACTTACTTATATATTTGTACAGCTAAGTCTAAAATGGGTTGATGCTTTTTATGCAAGTAAATAATGAATTTAAAGCGTTATTTGATTGTAAAAAGCAAAATAGTACCTGGTGAGCAGCGTGTAAAAGAACGGTTTTACAGTTATATATGGCACTGGGTACTTTGGTGTTATCGTACATAATAGCCTTTACGCTAGATATATTCGTGACAAGACCTATTAGAAGTCTTATTTGGTGTGAATTTGAAGTAACATTAAAACAGAATTCTGGAAGTCGACAAACAGTTGAATCTGAAGCCAGGTAAAGGAAGAAAAATTTCCAAATTTTAAAAAATTTTTTCTTTAGCTGTTTCGTTTCAAAAAAAAAAAAAAAGATACGAAACTTTTTGCATTATAACCGCTCAATAGTATTCTTTTGTGTATTACCAATTTTGTCATGACACCTTGGTACATAATATTTCAAACAGCACATGATATTTTAGATTACTGGGGAAGACGTCAGAAATTGAGGATGCTCAATAGACATTACTAATTTGGGCATCTGATGCTTATACTCTGCTCGAATCATCTTCATGTATGGTTAAAAAAAATGAAGTTTTTTTTTTTTGATCTTATTGGAAACTGAGCATTAGCTTAGAATGTAATATGTCTGTATGCATTGTTGTTTGCTGTTAATTACCAATCTTTACATTAGGTGAGTAACCATACATTTTGTCGTTAATTTTTGTTATAGCTTCTATCTTTCTGATGGTTTTAAAGCATTTTTTGCTATATTTCACTACTTTTGAAGGACATTTAGTTGAAATATTTGTTGGATGTTGAAATTCAGATGCTTCACCTTCTATGACGCTTTTATTGTTGCAACTGAACAAAGTATAAACTTTGGTTTTAGCTTTGGAGGTTTTATAATTTGAAGCAACTCTAAGTTTCCATTGCTGTATGGAACATTTCTGTTACACTACTAAAAAAAAATTACAGTTTTTTTTTTT